AAAGACGACAAACAGAACCCAAAGAAAACAGGAGGAAGAGCATCCCTGCTCCATGACACAGGAGAAGAACATCCCTGCTCTGTGACACGGGAGAAGAGCATCCCTGCTCCATGACACAGGAGGAAGAGCATCCCTGCTCCATGACACAGGAGGAGAGCATCCCTGCTCCATGACACGGGAGAAGAGCATCCCTGCTCCATGACACAGGAGGAGAGCATCCCTGCTCCATGTCACGGGAGATGAGCATCCCTGCTCTCTATGACACAGGGAGAGCATCGACACAGGAGAAGAACATCCCTGCTCCATGACACAGGAGAACATCCCTGCTCCATGACACAGGAGAACATCCCTGCTTTGTGACATAGGAGAAGAACATCCCTGCTCTGTGACACAGGAGGAGAGCATCCCTGCTCCGTGACACAGGAGGAGAGCATCCCTGCTCCATGACACGGGAGAAGAGCATCCCTGCTCTGTGACACGGGAGAAGAGCATCCCTGCTCCATGACACAGGAGAACATCCCTGCTCCATGACACGGGAGAGCATCCCTGCTCCATGACACGGGAGAAGAACATCCCTGCTCCATGACACAGAAGAACATCCCTGCTCCATGACACAGGAGGAGAGCATCCCTGCTCCGTGACACGGGAGAAGAACATCCCTGCTCCATGACACAGGAGAACATCCCTGCTTTGTGACATAGGAGAAGAACATCCCTGCTCCGTGACACAGGAGGAGAGCATCCCTGCTCCATGACACGGGAGAAGAGCATCCCTGCTCCATGACACGGGAGAAGAACATCCCTGCTCCATGACACAGGAGGAGAGCATCCCTGCTCCATGACACAGGAGGAGAGCATCCCTGCTCCATGACACAGGAGGAGAGCATCCCTGCTCCATGACACAGGAGGAGAGCATCCCTGCTCCATGACACAGGAGGAGAGCATCCCTGCTCCATGACACAGGAGGAGAGCATCCCTGCTCCATGACACAGGAGGAGAGCATCCCTGCTCCATGACACAGGAGGAGAGCATCCCTGCTCCATGACACAGGAGGAGAGCATCCCTGCTCCATGACACAGGAGGAGAGCATCCCTGCTCCATGACACAGGAGGAGAGCATCCCTGCTCCATGACACAGGAGGAGAGCATCCCTGCTCCATGACACAGGAGGAGAGCATCCCTGCTCCATGACACAGGAGGAGAGCATCCCTGCTCCATGACACAGGAGGAGAGCATCCCTGCTCCATGACACAGGAGGAGAGCATCCCTGCTCCATGACACAGGAGGAGAGCATCCCTGCTCCATGACACAGGAGGAGAGCATCCCTGCTCCATGACACAGGAGGAGAGCATCCCTGCTCCATGACACAGGAGGAGAGCATCCCTGCTCCATGACACAGGAGGAGAGCATCCCTGCTCCATGACACAGGAGGAGAGCATCCCTGCTCCATGACACAGGAGGAGAGCATCCCTGCTCCATGACACAGGAGGAGAGCATCCCTGCTCCATGACACAGGAGGAGAGCATCCCTGCTCCATGACACAGGAGGAGAGCATCCCTGCTCCATGACACAGGAGGAGAGCATCCCTGCTCCATGACACAGGAGGAGAGCATCCCTGCTCCATGACACAGGAGGAGAGCATCCCTGCTCCATGACACAGGAGGAGAGCATCCCTGCTCCATGACACAGGAGGAGAGCATCCCTGCTCCATGACACAGGAGGAGAGCATCCCTGCTCCATGACACAGGAGGAGAGCATCCCTGCTCCATGACACAGGAGGAGAGCATCCCTGCTCCATGACACAGGAGGAGAGCATCCCTGCTCCATGACACAGGAGGAGAGCATCCCTGCTCCATGACACAGGAGGAGAGCATCCCTGCTCCATGACACAGGAGGAGAGCATCCCTGCTCCATGACACAGGAGGAGAGCATCCCTGCTCCATGACACAGGAGGAGAGCATCCCTGCTCCATGACACAGGAGGAGAGCATCCCTGCTCCATGACACAGGAGGAGAGCATCCCTGCTCCATGACACAGGAGGAGAGCATCCCTGCTCCATGACACAGGAGGAGAGCATCCCTGCTCCATGACACAGGAGAAGAACATCCCTGCTCCGTGACACAGGAGGAGAGCATCCCTGCTCCGTGAAAAGCTCTCAGAAGTGACACAGGAAAGAAATCAACTAGAAAAACGGAAAACATACATTATACCAAGATCACTGAACATCAGAATCACAGCAGAGCTCTGGTTCTGCTGTCGTGTTAGCAGAATCTGTCTAATCAATGCTGTAGTCAGAGAGATTGTAGGCAGACAGCACCAAGAACAAGAACGTGGCTGTGGGATGGACTGGGGAACCCAAGGAGGAAGCCTGCCAGGGTCTCTGAGAATCTCAGATGCCCACCTCCTGACCCATGTCCCTGCAAAGTCTCAGGTTTGCAGATAGCCTGTACAGGAGCCAAAACGGTTCCACAGTATGTGGTACAATTAAAGATCCGAGATGATCTCAGCTGGGAGGTCCACCAGCTGGGAGGCTACATGGAATACTAGACAGCTGTGGAAAGACTGAGGAGTGGGAAAAAAGGAGACTTGGATGTGTGTCTGCTGCTTTACATGTGCAGAAACATCCTCTGGGAGAAACAGCGTGGAGCTGTTGACAGTGGCTGCTGGTGCAGAGAATCCGGTTGGCAGCAGACTGACTTCTGTTATTGGCTACTTAACTGAGTTCTCAAAATGTGAAAAAAAGAAATGGGATTTGAAGTCTGTGATTAGCCTGTGTTAGGGAATCTCATGTGAAGTCTGTGAGCACAGGGGACTGTGGTAGTAAACGAGAGGTTGGCTGTTCCCTCTGCCTCTTGAGAGCCCTGTCTAGTCACCCAGCAAAGGGGCGGGATGCACCCCTTACCCACTTGGAGGCCACTGTGACTTGGAGTCCCCTGGCTGGGCTGCATGCCCACAGTCCTTTCTCTTTGCACTCACATCCTGCCACTAAGCTTCACGGTGGTCCTGAAATACCCGACAGTGGCGGGGCCCCCGGAGAGCTTGCAGGCACAGGTGGGAAGGCAGAGTTGGCATGTTCTCTGAAGCACTGAAGCTGGAACTTGGTGTAGGGGGTTGTGGCCCTCCCCTCAGGGTTTCCAGAATGCTGGAAATCCAGGTTCCCAGACTCCGCTCTGGGAGTCTCTTCCTTCTCAGCAGACCTGTTGGGCACCTTGTGAACAACTTTCCATTGGCATGGGCCTTGTTCCTCTACGACTGCTTTGTGGCCCCTGCTGCCAAGTGTGCCAACTGTGTCTGTGTCCTTCCTCTTGGCAGATCCTGAGAGGAAACAGATTGACCTCTGGGTGACCTGGGGACAGCAGTTGCTAAAATAGAGAACACATCTCTCTTCTACAACCAGAATCTCATTTGGACTGTGGAGGCTTTGTTTTGCTCCCCGCCTACCCACCCTGCCCACAGGGAACATGTCCCAAGATCGCCAGTGGATGCCTGAAACTATGAATAATACTGAATGTCCTGGTTTTTCCTATATATACACAGCAGTGATAACGTTTAATTTATAAATTAGACATAGTAAGACTAACAACAGTAGTAATACTAACAATAGTAATAAAATAGGCAACTATGACCATATGCCACAATCAAAGTTGGGTCTTGGCAACCCAACATCTATATCTATATCTGTGTCTGTGTCTGTGTCTATATCTATATCTATATTTGTTTTCTTTCTGTATTGGGAGCTCTTGCTTTTTCACTTAAAGAAAGCACTCAGGCTTTTCTCAGGCAGATTCAAATTGCCAGCATTGCTGCTCTTATGTTTTGAGCCCATCATTAAGTAAAATAAGAGTCTCTTGGACAACAGTGCTGTGATCCTGAGACAGCCAGTCTGACAGCCAAGGTGGCTGCTCAGGATCTGACAGGCAGGTAACATATACAGCAAGGATACACTGGACAGAGGGCAATTTGTGTCCTGGGTAGGATGGAACGAGATGGCTAGGATTCCATCATGCTGCTCAGAAGAGTGCACATTGTAACACTTGTGAACTGTATCTTTCTGGAATTTTCCATTTACTATTTTCAGGTCACAGTTGACTGCAGAAAAGGAAAAACATATAAGGTCTGGAGCACTATGTGTACTGGTCTGTGTGACCTGGCCAGGAGGCCATTCCTGCGTGAGGGTAGATGCTCATTTCCAGTTCCTTAACCACAGCGATTCTTTCAAGATTTACTTGGCTTCTGGCCTCTAACCAGGCTGGGCTATCTTTGCCTCTGTAGCCCATGCAGAAGGGTCCCCATTTCTAGCTTGCCCCAGAGCTAACCCAGTGTTCTCCTGAAGTAGAGATCTGATCATGATGCTTGCTCTTCCAGATCCTTCACTGGTGCCATCTGCGACATTGCGACCTGGTATTCAGGTTCCCTGACCTATACCCCTACTCCCCTCCTCTCTGGCCCTCAGAACCACAGATCTTGTCCTTCTCCCTGACACCTTCATTCACAGAGCCTGTTATCAGGTCCCAGCATGTGAAGTTGCTTTGCTCAGACCTTTGTAGACTGTCTTCTCTCCCCAGCCTGACAAGTGGGAGCAGAGCGGGGAGGCCTAGTTCACAGTGGCCATTGGTCTATCCCTCTCTGTGTATGCACACGTCATCTCCCTGGATCCTTTGTTCCTTGACCATATGGAACTGTGTCTTCCTGTCACCCCTGCTACCTGACCTGCCCCCTCCCCTGGCTGGGGACTCAGCTCACCTGGGGACTGCTGCACACCTCCATCCAGCATCACATGGCCAGATCATTGTTCAGACGTAGCTGTTTCTATTCCAAGATGGCAGATGGTTAGGGAGACAGGGAAGAAGAGAGGACAGAACTGAGCTGACGGCCTGATGGTCACAGACGATCTTTCTACAGCTTCGTGTCCTACTTGCCTATCCATGGAGGCACCTGTCACTCTTCTCTGGGAAAGAATGCCAGAGGCCCTTCCTGAATTTATTGTTTTTCCTCCCACCAGGCTCCGGAGGTTCCCGATGGCGAGATTACGGTGCCTTGGCTATCATCATGGCAGGAATTGCTTTTGGTTTTCACCAGCTCTACAAGGTAAGTTACCTCACAAGGGCTGAAATGCTGTGGTCTGCCACCCTTGGGCATCCTGCCTCCTCCTCCTGACCCCTGGCCTCTGTGCGGAGGCACTGTTCCCAGCGGATGCTCAGTCCTGGAGAACAGTGGCTGTGTGGAAGTGGGAGCACAGCAGGGAAAATGGGAAGGCGCGGGCACCGCCTCTATCCGTCCTGGATTTCCCACCTCCCTCAGGAGGACCTTAAGGTCCAGGTCAGGAGTTTAGAATGGCAGTCAATGAGAAATGTGTAAATTTGAGGGGCAGAGCAGTGTAGTGGTTAGGAGCTTGGAGCCTCGCTACCTGTATTGAACCCAACTCTGCCTCAGAGTCCTGTTCCCATCTGTAAGATGGAAGTGGAGGGTTCAGCTTTGCAGCTGCATGAATTGTGCCTTCACAGCTTTGCTTTCACTTTTAATACGGTATTCGGTGAAGGAGACAAGATAACCAACACTCTGATAGGCTTTGCGTTTGATGATTTTGCCCAACCGCTACCGTGAGTGTTCCAAGCACAATGAAGGCAGGGCAGATGGATTAACGCATTTTCTGCGTATGCTGGTCTGTGGGATGTGACCTGTGGTTTGCAGGAACATCTTTAGACCCCGTCTCAGGAGGCTGCAGTGAAGACCTGTGGAGCTGGCTCCTTGGGGCAGTGCCAAGAAGAGCCAGCAGCAGGCCTGCTGGCAGGTGGGAAGGCCCCTTAGATGCTCTGTTCTACCCTGGTATTTAAACCTTCTTGAAGAGCTCACTTCTTGATTTCTATAGATTGTGGTAGCATCTGTATAAATGTGGGGTTCCCCCAAACCTCATGAGTCAGCCAACCCTCAAGAGCAGAGTTCATGTCACAGCAGAGCACAGGCACTGAGCAGACATCTGTTACTTCCACACCAGCAAAAAGGCCCAGCCTTGATTTGGAAAAGCTAGTCTACAAGATGCAGAGCCAGGATGGCCCCAGGTGCAGATGTATGTAGCCTGGAGAGAAGCTGCGCTCTCTTCTGAGGCCTTCCACTAGTCTGCCCTGTGTTTGGAAATTTTTAAAGGACCCTCGTGAATTCTTAGACTTGAAACTGTAACTTTCAGCACATGAAATATCTTTAAAATGTGCATTCTGGGAGTCTTAGTTTTTTACTCCACACAATAGTGAATGACAGAGTTGTGGCAGAATAATGTTTTCAGTGTAACATCTGTTGCTGGAGTAAAATTCCTGTGCAAAAATTCAGAAGCAAACAGTCCTGGGGCTTGGGCTCCCCCCTGAGCTGGTACCTCCCAGGGCCTTGGCCTCCTTCAGGTGGCTGACTATAGGCAGCGCCGACACAGGTCACAGAAAAGAGCCACGACCTGTGAACAGCACCGTTGCTTCACACGTAACGGCTGTTGTCACCTGTTTCCATGGAGCTCTGGTCTCCCCCCTCTGTATTAAAAAAGAAAGAAAACATTGAAATGTCAGTTGCAGTGGTGACACAAGGATGTCTAGAACATCTGCTACTAGTGTTCTTTAAAAAAAATGGCAGAAGGCCGATGTCTTTTTGTCCATGCACACAGATTTAGCCTGAGCAGTGGCTGTGCTCCCACCTCATGGTTCTGACCTTGGGAATGGCGGTTGTAGTTGGCTTTTCTTGACTTTTATATTTGGGAAGCGTCAGGCTACATTTAATGAGCTTCAAGTTGGCTGTGGTAATAATGTACTTTGCAGAATAGAAATGGCTTATGTGCTAAATGGCGAGCTTTGCTTAGTGTCTCTCTTGAAATGAGTTCTCCCACAAACCCCTTGTGAGAAACCTCCATTTCCTTCCTCGGTACAAAACCTTTAATGGAGAATTTGCCATCTTTTTGCCTGTCTGGGTCCTAAATAGACCTGAGTTCTCCCTGTATAGCGCCTGCCAGACCTGTACCATGCTTGGCTATAGCAATGTCCTTTCGGAGTGATGTGGGCCTCATTCCCCTAGGTTGGGGACTTTGTCTCCAGGCCCCAAGCTGGTTGGTTGTTGGATCAGGGGTCTTCCCCCCGCCCCCTCATCTGTTGTCATAGCACCCACTGCCTCTGCCCTCGAAACTCCCTGTCCCAAGCCCCACAGGCAGTCACCAGTTGTGCCCATGTCTTCCTAAATGATGGGGGGCCTGGTTCTAGGCCCCCTTGTTTGATGGCCGGCCCCCACGTCACCTGCTTTGGCTTTCTTTGTACCTTAGGGCAGTTTGTCCTTTGCCTTAGCTTTTCAATTCCAGGAGTCTGAACTCAAGGAAGCTGTTCTTGTGACTGAGCCTTACTGTAGAGGCAAGGTGACTCCTCACCAGCTTCAGATGTCCATGTCATGCCTGTGGAGGGGCCAAGAGTCCCAGAAGTCTTATTGTTGGTTCTCCTAATTCCTCCAATAATATTTTTTAAAGTTTTAAAAAATTTGTTACTTTATGTGTATGCGTGTATTGCCTGCATGTAGGTCAGTGTACCTGTGTTGTGCAATGCCCGCAGAGGACAGAAGAGGCTGTTGGATCCCCTGAGACTGGAATTAGGACAGTTGTTAGCTGCCATGTGGGTGCTGGGATCCGAACCTGGGTCTTCTGCAAGAACAGTCAGTGTTTTCTCCAGCCCCACCAATAATTTTTTGTTTATTCATTTTTATCATTTGTTTCTAAATGGATGAAGCAGTTTGTTTTAGTCACAAGGTTGAAGATGTTAAAGTTCAAAAAGCGGACAGTGAAAAGCCCCCCAAAAGTATACAGTGAAAAGCCCCCCCAAAAGTGAACAGTGAAAAGCTCCCCCTAAAAGTGTACGCCCAAAAGTGTACAGTGAAAAGCCCCCCTAAAAGTGTACAGTGAGAAGCCCCCCAAAAGTGTACAGTGAAAAGCCCCCCTAAAAGTGTACAGTGAGAAGCCCCCCAAAAGTGTACAGTGAAAAGCCCCCCTAAAAGTGTACAGTGAGAAGCCCCCCAAAAGTGTACAGTGAAAAGCCCCCCTAAAAGTGTACAGTGAGAAGCCCCCCAAAAGTGTACAGTGAAAAGCCCCCCTAAAAGTGTACAGTGAGAAGCCCCCCAAAAGTGTACAGTGAAAAGCCCCCCTAAAAGTGTACAGTGAGAAGCCCCCCAAAAGTTACAGTGAAAAGCCCCCCAAAAGTGTACAGTGAGAAGCCCCCCAAAAGTGTACAGTGAAAAGCCCCCTAAAAGCCACCAACAGGGTCAGTTTCTTGTAAAACCTGCAATTTCATCTCACAGCTTTTCAAGTAGATTTGAAAGCATCATAGAAATATTAATATCACTAAGAGAAGTGAGCTGAAGAAGGAGTAAGAGTCCCCTCAGCAAGACCAGACCTGCTTTCCCAAGGCTGGGGTACCAGCTCAGGGCAGACACCTTGCCTGGCCTTTACTAGGTCCTGGGTCCTCCCAAAGGCCCGTGGAGAAAATTCTCCCCGGGAGGCCTCCCTCCTCCCTCCCTCAGCCCCTCATCCTCGTCAGGTAGAAGTTTTACACAGTACTCTCAGTCTCATAACTTTTTAAGGTCTTGTTTTCTGGGGTTTCCACATTCCACAGAGGACCAAGGAAAGTGGGGTGGTGGGACCTGAGAGACTCACGAGGTACACCTCCTCAACTGTCCACTTTTTGCAGAAGTACCTGCTGCCCCTCATCCTGGGAGGCCGAGAGGACAGGAAGCAGCTGGAGAGGATGGCAGCGAGTCTCTCCGAGCTGAGTGGCAGTGTGGCCCAGACAGGTAAAGATTAATGACTCCATCAAGTCACCCTCGAAGCTTCTCACGCAGCCCTCTCGGCCCCTCCCCTCTCCCTCCGTCTCCACTCTATGTGGTGACTTCATTTATCTGCTCTGAGAATCTGTTCACATTTGCAAATGAAGCCGCCGTCATTTCGGTTTAATTTGAAATTGCTTGTTTACTGTCGGCGCGGCCTCAATTAATTATGTTTTTACGGAAAGGCTCCCAACCTCAGAATATTAATAAGGGGAATAAAATGACAGCCTTTCTAAGGGCTGTAAAGTTCATTTTTAATTTCTGCTTCTATGAGGTTTTCAGGGGGGTTTTCAGTGATTTTTTTTCCCCCTTCCCTCGAAGAATCCAACACAGGGTCAAGAGAGTCTGTAATTACTGTGGCTCCCAGGACCCCGGCCACCTCCTCTGTTATCGACTCCACAGGGCTGGCGTTCATTACCTGCTGCCCCAGTGATGGCCCAGATTAGCTGGGACCTGTCACAGCAGAGGTGGCTCTTCTCTTTTATAAACTTGTTTACTAGGTGGAAGCTCTGAATCTAAACCTGAGGTGGGTGAGAGCCCCACCAATCCCAGGCAGGAGTTCCTGTCCCTCACTGGCACCCGTGTAAAGTCTTCTGAAATCCTCTAGGGCATTCTTCCTGTGGCCAGGGGCATGGTGGTTACAGGCCTCAGGCTCATATGACAGTGTGGGGATAGACAGGCAGCCTGGTGAGGCAAGGCAGGACAGAGCAGAGCAAGAGAGAGCGCCATGGGTGGGACCTGCAGTGTCATCATTCCTGGACGTGGCAGAGCCCCAAGCCTTAGCCCTCCCAGAACTGGAACCATCCTTGAGCACCCAAGGACATCGTGTGGCTGGCGAGATAAGTGATGCAGACCTGATAGGAGCATGGTGGGAGTTAGAGAGCCAGGCACATCGCAGCCAGGCATAATTAGTGGGGAGAGGTTTTGGACGGATATACTGTTGACCACTGACAAGCACACAATGAGAAGATGAAGTAGAAACAGCAGAGGTTACACACATTGCGAGTGGATCACCTCAGGCACAGATAAATTATCTGGGTGTGGGTATCGGGGCCTGTAGATAAATTACAAGTAGCAGGGAGGTGGCAGCTCACGGGTGTGGGTGAGGAGGGGACCTTGGGTACTGACTTACCAGACGTGACGCTCTCTCCCCAGTGACTCAGGTACAGACGACACTGGCCTCTGTTCAAGAGCTGCTGAGACAACAGCAGCAGAAGGTCCAGGAGCTGGCCCATGAGCTGGCCGCCGCCAAGGTACTTGTCTCTGGGCCCCTGTTCTCTTTTAGGGCCCAGGTGTCTCTTTTATATCTAAGCCCTGGAACTCCACAACCTGTATACTGCCATCTATGGGCCTGAGTGTCCTCTGCCTACAGTCTTCTGTCACAGGGTGACACTACACGGGCTGATGCTGCTTCCCCTCTCCCCAAGAAGAGACCCACTGGTGTGCATCAGCATGGTCTGTACCTTCCTGTCTCTGTGCAGCCTCCTAACAGTAGGGAGGAACCACCCATCTTCCGCTGGTGGGCCTGTGACGCAGCCATGCGCCTGCAGATTGTGTTGCAGTGCAGGTCACAGCCTGGTCAAGGAGGAGTCCAGATGGCAGAATGGTGGGCTTGGGTTCACTAGTCCCTGCTCCTCTCAAGGTGCTGGCCTTACTTGACTGCAGTGGGCAGTTTTCTAGACCCAGCGTTGGTGGGGTTGGGTGATCTGAAAGGAATTGAAGCCAACCAGGATTGACTGAAGTGGTTTCTGTGCCTTGATGCCTAAATCTCAGTAGAGGTTGACGGTCAACCTGTATGGGTCACAGTCTTCATTCTCCGCTTATTTGACCACAGGCAGGTTACTTTAACCTTTGAGTCTTTGTCTGGGAACTGGCACTGTAACGGTATCTACAGTGCGCTGCTTAGGGACTGAAGATTGGTGCCTAAGTCTCTCTTGGGAAGAAAGTCCCCCTAAGAGCTCCTTCCCAATGTCCATCCCACATCGAGGGCCACCTCCCTTCTTGCTTAGGAGGCTGGGTGCTGCTTCTGCTGTGCTGTGCCTTCCCTGAAGGAGGCCATGAAGCAAGCAGGCAGGAAGGCGGCACGGCCCCCAGCCCACTCTGCTATCACTCGGATCTGTGGCCTGCCAGTGGCCAGCCGCCATTCCGGAAATTGGAAAACTGTTTTCATGCCCTAAGCGTAAGATGAGGACCACATGTTGTGCTTTAAAGAGGGTGGGGCCGGCCATGGGGGGAAAGAGGTCCTCACTCTGTCACAACTCCTGCCCCCAGGCTCCTCCCTGCTCTCTCTGCTGAAGTAAGGCTCTGGCCTGGCACCCAAGCCCACATGTGTGAGGACTTCAAGTTACCCCATAAACCAGAGTCAGAGCTGTGTTTTCTCAGCTGTAATGTAAGTTTTTACATCTGCCTTTCAAACTCCTACTGGAGCACTGTAAAAAAAATTAAAAAGAAGAGCTTTAAGTAATTAAAAAAACCTACATAAAACTGAAGACTGTGAGTTTTCTACAACTGTTTTTTAAAAAGACTGGCTAAAAAGCCCCAGATGTCAGATTTTATTTCTAAATCCTGGCATCTGGCACCATGTGCATTTGGAAATCTGAGTCCTTTGTGGCCAGTGAGTGGAAATTGCTCCCTTGTTAATGGGCCGCTGTAGCTTTCAAGGTCTCGAAGAAGCCAGAACAGTGGCTCCTGGGCTTCACTGTCTGGTGGTCTGGAGCAGGGACCCTGCGGGAATGTATGTGAGGGTGTTGCCCCCCCCACCGATCTGCAGTGCAGGGGTGTGCCCAGTGAGCTGTGTGGGCCAGGCCACAGTGGCCCCCACCTTGAGTCTTGAGACCCACGGCTGGCAAGGAAGAGCCAGAGACATCCCCCTCCTGCCTAGGGATAGCCTATCTGGGAGTGAGCATCTAGCTGAGGCTGCCCCTAGCTGCCTGCCTCTGTCACCAGGAACTAGGCTATGTCACTCATCACAGACCACTGGGCCACCAGCAGCCCACTTAGGGACAGCCGTTCTGGCTTTCCTCTTTACTCAGGTTTAGTGGTAGAGGGCACCCTACCTCTTTGCCCTTTGGAGAAGGCATTGAGTCAGGACCTAGGGTGGCTCCTTCTCTCCATTCAGCCTTGAGTTATCCCAAAGAATAAATTGGATTGGGTGGCGTAGTCTACAGATGACTTTACAGATAGCGGGGTGTTGGGTGTGGCTGGGGCCATCCTTCTGGACTCTGTGGAGAGCCTCTGGAGACCCAAACTTAGAGAACTGGGAGCTGGAGATCCCAGGCAGAGTAGAGAGTGTGGCAGGGGTCAAGGCTGCCTTTTAGGATTGCCTGAAGGCAGAGCTGTGGACCAGACAGATGCTCAGGCCTCCCTGGCTTCCTTGTGTACTAAGGTAGCTTCTGGGCTTGGGGACCCGCCCAGTGGTGGTGATTTCTCGAAGGAGGCTGGTTTTAGAGGCATCTGTCCTAGTTTGCTTTATATTGCTGAATTATAAGTACTCTGGCCAAAACCAACTTGGGATTTATTGTGTCTTACACTTCCATGTGATAGTCCATCTTTGAAGACAGGAAGCTGGAGGCAGGAACTGAAGCACAGACTGTGGAGGAATGCTGCTTACGGACTTGCTTCTCTGACTTATGCTCAGCCTGCTTTCTTACAACCTAAGACCACCTGCCAAAGGGGTGGCACCATCCACAGTGGGCTGGGCCCTCCCATATCACTCAGCAGTCAAGAAAATGACTCACAGACATACCCATAGGCCAATCTGATAGAAACAATTTCCCAGTTGAGGTTCCTTCTTCCCTGGTGTTTCAAGTTGACAGTCAAAGCCAGCTGTGACGGAGGGTCCTTGTAGAGATGGCTGTGTTTATTGGTGGTTTTAGTGGATGTTTCAAACACTCAGTGGAAGTGGAGGTTTTGCACAGCTGCAGCAGCTCCTCTGTCCCCACCATCACATCACCTGCTGCTGCAAACACCTTAGTGTCTCTGGGAGAGATATGAGTTTGCTATTTCATTTTACACTTGGATACTGTAGTTCCACCAACAAGCATGTAATGACTTCTTAACTATCATCAGATATCCAAACGGAGTTGTGGGAATGTTCATTGTAGGTACATCATCATAGGCAGGTGCACACAGTGTCCTCCTGATCCCCCATACCCCACCCCCAGGCTGCAGCAGGCACCAGTGCTCTGACCCATGTTCCCTGTGTTCTGACTTTCAGGCTACCACATCTACCAACTGGATCCTGGAGTCCCAGAATATCAATGAACTCAAGTCGGAAATCAACTCCTTGAAAGGACTTCTTTTGAATCGGTAGGAGAGGAGGCTCAGGTTCAGAGGGTTCAGGGTCAGCCTAGTAGTGACCCTAGTAGGGCTCCTGGACTGGTCTCACTGTGGGAGGACACAGGGTCCCTCACTGAGCTGGAAGATTGGAGACTTTGGGAGCTCCTGCCTCCCTTTCCCAGCAGCCCACCCACTCTGGGTGTCAGCACCCACAAGTGTTAGATGACAGTCAATTGCCCATAACTGGTCAGGGACCGCATGGGGCAAAGAACAGAGCTTCTGAGCAGAGTGCCCTCGTGTGGCACAGAAATAGGCAAGCCTCTCCTTCTGAAGCCCAGTGCCCTTTCCAGGCAGCTTTGCCCCACCAAGGGCTGCAGTGTGTGAAGGCTTCTACAGTTAAAGGCATCGGTAGAAACAGCCCTGCCTCCCCCTCCCACTTCCTGATGTCCCTTGTAGTGACAGCACGTTGTCCCCAGTGCAGCCCTGACCTTAAAGGGTAACTAGCAGGTCCTGGTTTGCCCAGGCTTGCCCTGGCTTCAAAGCTGAAAGTGCAGTGTCTCAGGAGCCTCTGTCTAGGAAACTGTGGGCAGTGGTCAGTCTGCCTGAGTGGTGCCCTGGCAGGCTATACTTGTGGCCCTGCTTGGCCCAAGGCATTAGTAAGAACTGTGAGGAGATTGTGGCACCCAAGGTGGCCCTTTACTAGGGGCTAAGAGGGGGTAAGGGGCTCTTATGGCCCAGACTAGAGGACTGCTTTTCTAAGCTTCCCACTTCCTGATCTTCCCAGAGGGGAAAAAAGCATATCTTCGTAACAGGTGTGGTGAATTCAGGCAGGGCGTGCAGATTGTACTGAGAAGCCTTTGGCTTTCTGAGTCTAGAAGGTAGGGTGTCTCTGTGGAGGGGGGCAGATGCAGGCCAAATGTCATGGGAGTCAAGAAAACTACAAACTGAGTTTCTTGTTTGCATTTGTGTTGCTGCTGAATGTGCAGGGTTTTGGTGTGTGCACCACCAGGGCGGACTCTGAGCAGGGGGGTGTCTGAGACCAGTGCCAGTGCAGTGCCGCTCTGGGGACAGGAGCAAGGTGTCCTCCTGGCCTTGCTAGAGACAGAGCTTTGTATTGTAGAGCTTTGTAATGGTTTGAATAAGTGTCCTCCATGGGCTCCAAGTGTTGATGGTTTGTCCCCAGTTGGTGGCACTATTTTGGGAGGTTCTAGGAGGTGTGGCCTTGCTGGAGGAAGCACATTACTGTGGGTGGGCTTTGAGAGTATATAACTTACCCACTGACAGTCTGGCTCTCTGTGCTCTGTGATGGACCTTCTGCCCAGGCCACCTCTCTGTGATTGTCTCCGTCCATGATGGACTCTAATCCCTCTGGAACCCTAAGCCAAATAAACCCTTCTGTAAGGAATGGTCATGGTGTTTCATCACAGCATCAGGAAAGTAATTAATACAGAAGTTGGTACCAAGAGTGGACTGTTGCTGTGAAGAGCCTGACCATGTGGGTTTTTGGAGGAATATGGAAGACTTTGGAACTTTGGACTGGGAAAGGTGTTGAATGTTGTAAGCAGAATTTAAGGGGTCATTCTGGTAGGAGCCTGGAAGAAAGTACTGCTTAGAGCAGTAGTCCAGAGGGAAATAAGGATGTAGCAGCAACTGGGATGTTTGGGCAAGGAGTCTGGCTGCTTTCTGTTCACAGCCCAAGACCTCGCCTGAGGCTAAGTTGAAAAGTAATGGACTTTGGCAGAGGAAATTTCAAGAGAGCCTAATGTAGAAATGGTGGTGTGGTTATTAATGGTGAATATTATGGAGTTGTGAATATTATAATATTAATGGTGAATACAATGAAAAGAGCAAGTGGGCAAAGAAATGCAGAATGTATAGTTTGGAGAGAAAAGGGCACTAGGAAGCTTAATGATGTTGGAGCCAAGATGTGTGCTTAAGGAGAGGCTCTCTTTGATAAGGAGATTAGAGCCCTTAAGGCAAGGCCTCCAGATTTGCACTTGAACAATGGAAAGTACCCTCAGGCAGCCTCCCCCATCCACCCACTCCTGGGACCAACTTTGTATTAGCTACTTTTTTCTATTGCTGTGATGAGAAGGAAGAGTTTGACTTACAGCTCCAGGGGCACAAGAGTCCAACATGGTAGGATAGGTGTAGCAGGAGACAGCTTGAACAGCCAGCTAAGTGCTCACATTTCCAATTAGGCACAGAAAGCAGGAAAGGACATACGGAAATAGGCATGACTGTGAACTCTTTAAGCCCGCCCCCAGTGATGAGCTTCCTCTGGCATGGCCATATCTCTTAAAGGTTCCATGGCCTCCCCAAACAGCACTATGAACTAGGGACCAACTGTTCCCCAGTGGAGCCTGTGGAGGACATTCTCATTCAAACCACCACAAGCTTAATTTCTGAGTCAAGGCCAAGCTGACCCAACCTTCCCAGGTCTCTCCTGAATGGGCTTCAGTTTGGATTGTCCCAGAAGAGAGCAGGCCATGTATGGTCAAAGCTTTGGCTTAGAGGTTTCCAGCAAAGGGTCCTGGCATCGTGGTTTTGGTCTTGATATCTCTGATCCGACCAGTGGCCAGGCCTCCCTTCTGCACTTTAGCCCCAGTGTCTTAAGTCCTCAGGCTTGGACCCTTTGGCCTCTGACCTTTTCCCTATCCTGGCCACAGGGGTGAAACAGGGACCATGTTGGGATTGAGTCAGAAAAGCAGGCTTCAGGGTGTGTTGGGTGCTTGGTGGGCAGACCAGCAGCTGTCAAGGCAGGTGGGCCCCACTCAGGGCCGGGGATGAGAGGTGTCTGTGGGTACCTACCACAGGGCACTTCTAGTGCCCATTTTGGCAAATTGGGCCTCCAGTGAGCCAAGGAAGAAGAGGTCAGAGGATCTGTCCAATCCCCCTGGGGGAGCTGCAGCCATCACTGAGCCTTTGAGGATCAGGGAACAAGGGGATGTGTGACACTGGAGCAGGGTGCTGTCACCAACCTTACCTGCTTCTTTTCTCCCTCTGCCAGGAGGCAGTTCCCACCCTCCCCATCAGCCCCGAAGATCCCCTCATGGCAGATCCCAGTCAAGTCTCCATCACCCTCGAGCCCTGCAGCTGTGAACCACCACAGCAGCAGTGACATCTCGCCGGTCAGCAACGAGTCGAACTCATCGTCTCCTGGGAAAGAAAGCCACAGCCCCGAGGGCTCCACAGCCACCTACCACCTTCTGGGCCCCCAGGATGAGGGGGAGGGAGTGGTAGATGTCAAGGGTCAGGTGAGGATGGAGGTGCAGGGCGAGGAAGAGAAGAGGGAGGACAAGGAGGACGAGGATGATGAGGATGATGATGATGTAAGCCATGTAGATGAGGAAGACGTCCTGGGGGTACAGAGGGAGGACCGCCGGGGTGGGGACGGGCAGATCAATGAGCAGGTGGAGAAGCTGCGGCGGCCAGAAGGTGCCAGCAACGAGAGTGAGCGGGACTAGGGCTGGCACAGCCACCCATGGCTCTGGCAGCCTGGGGATTTGGTTGGCAGGTGGGCATGGGCTGTGACTTTGTCTCCAGCAGGTTGGCGGGGACCCAGGTCGGGGCAGGGCTGCCGTGGGCTGCAGCAATGTGGGGTTGCGTTTCTGTTCACCAGCCTCCCAAACACCTACTCCAACCCCAGCCCTGCCACTGCCTCAACTCAGTCCTAGCCCAGGTGGCCCTGGCTGTTGCTGGCCAGGCCGAGGGTGCAGGAGCTCTGTACTCAAGCCCCTGCTCGGCCACTTCCTGGACAGGTGTCTTGTCTAGGTGTGTTCACTGAGTGTCTTGACTAACATGACACCATGCATGGCCAGAGCTCGTGTCATCTCCTGTCTCCTGTTGCCTCAGTGTGAGGGGTTCTGCTGCCCCCCACTGTCCCCTGGGCCTGGCCTGTGACACCTTCTTCACCCTGTTCCGAAAGCCAGAGCCCTGGATCTTTTTGTCCCATGGGCCTGCCAGGACCCAGCCTCCCCACAGCCAGGTCCTGCCTGACAGATGCTACCTTTGGGTACCTGTCCCCAGCCAGTCCCACTGGCCTTGTCCTCTAACCACACGCGACCATCCTCGCTTGCCGTGTTATGGCTCGGCTAACCCTGTGGTGAGACCTGCTTCTTCTCCCATGGTGGAGCCAGGCAGTGGGGCCACCCTGACCAACAGCCACGTCTGTCCTTCCCACTGAGAAACACATGTTCATTTATGTGATCATGTATAGATTTCAGAATATAAGATATGACTGTACATAATTGTAATAAATATGAGTTGCCACTATTTAATTCCTGCCTCTGACCTTGTCTGCTGGCACCCCATGCCTCCAAGGTGGGTCTCCACCAAAGCTTTGCCAGGTGACCACTAGAGCAGGACCCTGAGGGACAAAGGGGCCTGGCAGAGGCGTTCACCCAGAACTAGAGGGGCTCCTTCCTCCCGCTGGTGTCTGTGGAGGGCGACATTCCCCTGAGAGCAGGAGGGAAGGGACTCCGTTACTGTATATAGACCTGGTGCGGAGCGGGATGAGCTGCCTTCCTTAAATGGATGCACATTCCCCAGGAGCCTGTCTGTTCTCGGCTAGTCCCTCACTTGCGCCCTCCCTGTCTCTCTTTAACCTTCACAGAGTGCTGAGCTGTGACCAGAAAGCTGGGCCAGGAGCTCCCTCCAAGGAGCACGCTCAGCTCCTTCTGCCCCAGTCTGGCTCATCCTGGAGCCATGGGCACTGTCCTGTCGTGTGCCTCGTGTGGGATGTGGCCTGGGAAGTAGAGAGTGCCCAGCAATGGCCACTAGTGCAGATGAAGTGGTACAGCAGGGCACATGCCCCTCCTGTGGCCACTGTCCTGGGGAGGGAGGGCAGACGTGCCAGTGTGGATACGGTGTGTGACCTTGGGCTGTGTTGTCCCAGAAGATGTCTGGCCTCTTGCTGAGGGCCTCTCTGGCTGGCCAGGCCCCTCTGGCTCTGCCTCAGGTCTGTCACCTCACATGACTGCTCAGGTCTGGGGCACCCATTCCCTAGGGATAAGCCAAGCCCCTATGAGGACCGCTCTTGCCTTCATCCTTTTTCGTTTCCTGCCTCCTTGTGTCCCCTGAGGAGACCGTGTTTCTCAGCTCCAGGCCTGGCCTGGCCAGAGGACCCTCCCTCAGGAGTTCTAGGGACCCGCAGTCAGGAGGCTGATGAGCAGACCTGAGATGGGCCAGCAGAGGGCTGGGCTGTGTCCTTCTGGTGAATGGGACACCTGGGTCCCGGGAACATTTTTACTGGAGGAATCGTGGCCCTCTTTGGCTTAGTGACTGTCATCATTTTTAACTTCTGAGGTCCCTTCCCAGGGGACCAGAAGGGGAGACCAGAGGACAGGTCCCTGGGATAGAGACAAAACAGGAGGTGGGGGCTGGGCAGCCAGAGCAAAGTGCTGGCCATGTTCTGGGCCCCCACGTCCTGCTCACTGGGGACCCGAGAGCTGGGCCTGAGACAGGAGCCTACATCTTGCCATCCCCAAGTTTCCTCCCACCTGGGGAGTCACTAGGCAGGAAGGTCTTAGGCTTAAACTCAGACGAGAAGGGACAGAAACCTGGGTTCAGCTTTTGAGGACAGAGAGTCTGGCGTGACTTCAGGGAGAGAAAAACCCCTCCCCAAAACGGCGTGAGTGCTGCCTAATAAAGGCAGCTGCTGGACCCTTTGAAAAAAAGCCTTTCATTAGAAAAATAATGCATTTCATCCAAATAAGGTGAAAATATTTGGAATGGGGCAGAAGTGAGCAGCAGGCAGCGTTGTCAGGCTCTCTCTGGAAGGGAGTACGTTATTAAACTCAATTATGATGTCTTTTTATAAAGTGTCGTTTAAGGAAGGATGAACCCCAGTGCTTGTAGGCCGCTCCCAGCTGCCTTGACCCCCCTACACAGGCTCCCCTCGGACTCTGGCCTCCCCCAGCGCTGGATGACTCATTGGACCTACCTTGGGCAGGGGCATGTTGTATGGGAAGGACGGGGCCACTTGTGCCACCCAAGGAGGAGGGAGGAGGTGTGGGGGGTTGTCCCTGGACTTGCTGTAGGGCCTGCAGTATGTCCCAGAACCTGTTGGGTAGGGAAAGGGAATGCTCAGTGGTTGCTAAGTTTGTACCCTCAAATCTTGGGCTTTTCTGTTGAACTACAAATCCTGTGTTTAGGAAAACCTGGTAACTTGGGAGGGAATAGAGAGGTTTCCACCTGGACCACTAGCTTTGGGCCTGGGTTTACATGTCTCTCTTCTCCCTCACTGTTTTTTTTTTTTTTTTTAAGATTAAAAACAGTTCTCTCCTTGCTGAGTGACCTGACCATTGATAGGAGACTGGTCTGTGACTCTCCCGTGGGGCCCTCATACCCACTGCTTATTTGGGGTTGAACCAGGCGTGAGAAAACGCTGGCTCTTGGGAGTCTTGGCCAGGCCTCTCTCTTCTGGGGACCACCCTGCTCCTGCCGCAAAGGCCAGGGGAGAGGAGGCAGACTAGTCATACTCAGGAGCGCACTGAACTTGGGCTGTTTCATCTGGGCCTAAATACTTCTGAGGGCACCAGAGGAGAAGGTCAGAGGCTCCATGGGTGTGGAGGTACCAGGAAGTCCCCCTCAAGTGACGTGTTCCCCGGGCAGTGGGCCAGGCCTTGCTGGCTCTTTGGCAAGTGGGACCTGGCCACTCTTCTCAATCTGTTCTAGGCTGGACAGGTGTTTCTCATCCATACCTACCCCTTCTGACCAAGGGACTAATGGGAGTGTCCCAGCTGGTAACCCATGGTCCCTGCACAAGGAGCTAGGCCTGTTCCATGTGCTGTCCCAGGGCCTCTGGCTTTTCCATGTCCCTGCCCATGTACCCTGGCCCCCAGGAAGACCCAAAGGCCCTCCCTTTTATCAAAATGAGTTTGCGAGTTCAGCCAGCATTTGAAAGTGACTTTACCTGAAACATGAACAATCTTAATGGTTGACTTTCCTTGAGCACTTTAAAGTACATGTCTCCTAGAAGAGGAGATGAGATTTATTGTGGCTTTATAAGGAGATGCCTGGAGCCTTTCCTTGCGCCATGGAGAGTGCTGGGAAGATTTTGTTTAAAGCGACCAGGATGTTGGGTCCAACAGCCCCAAGAGGCTGCAGCTCAGGGACTGCTTGAGCCCAGGAGTTCAAAGCCAGCCAGGGTGAGACCCTGTCTCAAAGAAAAGAAAAGAACCCATGTAAACAAACAGTGTGACAGGTTTTAGATGTAACTGCTCCTCCACTTCTCATGCAACCCACAAGCCCATCGTAAGTTGAAAAGGTAAGTGAGAACTACCCACAACACCTAAGGGGTCAAACACCACAGTAGAAGTAAGACACATTAGTGACAGGCCGTTTCCCCTCCACAGAAGGCAGACTGGGATCGTAAGAGGACCAGGCTGTGTGTGGTGGTTGCCTGGGAAAAGACCTCCAGGGCTAGAGAGATGGCTCAGGGGTTAAGAACACTTGATGTTCTTCTAGAGGACCCGGGATTGAGTCCCAGCACCCACATGGAGGCTAACAAGAGTCTGTAACTCCAGTTTCAGGGGATCTGACACCCTCTTCTGGCCTCCTCAGGAGTTGCATGCATGTGGCGCACTTACATACAAGCAGGCAAACTGCTCATATACATAAAAAATTTTTTTTTAATGTAAATACCTTTTTTTATGTTTTCGTGTGTGTGTGTGTGTGTGTGTGTCAGGATGTGTGTCTGCACACAGGTGTGTGTCAGGGTGTGTGTCTGCACACAGGTGAATGTGCATATAGAAGCCAGAGGATAACCTCGGGTGCTAGCCTCAGGAATGCCGTCCACCTCCTTTGAGGCAGGGCCTCTCACTGGCCTGGGGCTTGCTGATCAGGCTTGAATGCCTAGCCATGAGCCCCAGGGAACCTCTCTCTGCATCCCCAATGCTGGGATTCCAGGTGCAGGCCACTGTGCCCAGCATTTTGACATGTGTTCTGCAGATCAAATTCAAGTCTTCACACTTGCAAAGAAACGACACCCCCACTGGACCTTTGCACCTTGAACTTTGGTTTCCATGGACCACAAGTCAAGTTGTGGTTACTTGGGTGTTTATGTACTTTGATAGTTGGGCTGGCCTTTTACCCCCACTCCAGCAGTCCTAGAAACATTGTCTCCTATATAGACTCAGGGTGGGCAGTTAGCCCCCAGAGACTCAGGCAAAGCTGAGGGCTGGAAGTGTGGGGACAGGGCCCAGGAAGGCTCCTTGGTGGAGAAGTAGGATCTCCCTGTAATGATTGGAGTGGAATCCCATAGAGGCCACACAGCTGTTCCCCACTTCCCGTGCTGGCCATGGCCTCCTGAGAGCCACTTTCTGTTGGCTTGCCCAAGTTGGGTAACTCAGGTGGCCTCTTTTGCTTCCTGCAAGGTCCCCAGATGCCAGCACTTTGGGGGCCCTGCTTCATGGAGGCCTGGCTGAGCTTGGACAGCAGCATTTTCTTCCCATCTCTGTGTCCTGGCTCTGGGCCAAGGCCACTTGTGGGGCAACAGCCACCTCTGATGACTGCGGATGGGGAGCCAGCTTTTCCCGGTGCCTGTATGTGCTGTCCAGGGAGGGCACTGTCTTGGCACTGTGCATCCCCCTCAGCTGGGTACAAGGCCTGTCTCCTTACCAGGCACTCACATTCAGCCCTGTCTGGGAGGAGGCTGGCCACCAAGTTCAGTTACAAGCCTGCACAGCTGTTTCTGACTCTTTCTTATGAAACTTGAATTTGCCCCAGTTTGGGTATAGAAGTGTCATAACCACCACAGCTAAGTAGATCCCAGAATGAAATCATGTTTTACTGCATTTCATACTGAGTCCAATAAGCCAAAAAGGATCATAGTGAGGCCTAGTCCTCCAGGGTGGGGTGCCACCCACAGCAACTACCATCCTCACCCCCCTACTGGTAGAGAATAGAACGCCATCTGAGTGGGTACATGTACCTGATGCAGGTATGAGGGCAGCAGCCCATTCTCTGGAGGGCCACCCAGTGCTCTTCCCTGGGCACTGGCTGAAGGTGTCAGGGAGCAGGACCTACCCTTAGCACGGCTGGCCTTCCATCCCCTGGATATGGGTCTGCTAACATCTGTCCTGGCCCTGAAAACCTGGGAGTAAGAGATGGGGGTGGGATTGGGGGATCTAGTTAAGGTAAATGAACTGACCCCCAAGTCTCCATCCTCTCTCCCCAGGGCCCCAGGAAGCTGCCCCAAGAACTACCCCTGCCCCCCTTGCTGGCGCCCAGAGGGAGCCCTGCGGCTGCACCGCCCACCAGCCCATCCCCAGCTGAG